CCTCTGTCTCATTGGATTTTGCCAACTTTCTTTTTTTACTTGTCCCAAAAAACTTTGTCACTTTTCTATTAAAGCAACTAATTTGTGGTTTTGACCATTTCTCTCTCCTTTGCACAAATTTCAATCACACAGTTTTTACTATTCTTATTTCTCATCTAGTTTGCATTTGGCAAAGTGTACAAGGAGGGAGGTAGTATAATGAGGTAAGGGTCATATTGGTACTCGAAGTTGCATAAAAAGTGTCAAATAAGTCCTTATATAGGAGGCTCTGTCCGGCCGTCGTCATTTGGGGCGGTTCCCTGTGTGGAATTTTTTGACGAAATTTTTTGAGTATCTTATTCATCAAGTCTAGTTTACTCATACCAAATTTCAGCTAAGAATTCAACTGGGAAGACATTCAAATGAATTCTTGAAGATAATCGCGCAGTTAAAAACACAATTATCTTCAAGAATTCATTTGAACGACTTCCCGATTGACGTTTTAGCTGAAATTTGGTATGAGAAAACTAGACTTAAAAAATAATATGCTAAAAAAATTTCATCAAAAAATTCCACCGGAAACTGCCTCAAATGGGGGGCCGGACAGTAAGGACTTATTTGACACTTTTTATGCAACTTTGAGTACCAATGTGACACTTACCTGGTACTATAATGGAGCAAGTGGGATTATATCGGGCATAATAATATAGTAGTTGCATACTTGCATCCAACTAGTACGTACCATCCTCCACCCGGTGTTTCTCCATCTTTCATGCTTGATTCAATCTAATGGCCAACACTTCATCATGAGCACAGCCTATTCTTTTCAGTTTTATTATTAAAGAAACTTTGTCAATTACGTGTTCTCTTGTGTACCTCATGATAATGAATATGTAGAAGAAAAAAACGTCTAATTTGGTCTAGTTTAAACTTTCCCGTAAATGTCTAATTTGGTCTCTAGTTTAAACTGGTCTGAAATGTTTTATATGTATCTTAGGGGTCGTTTACTTTTTTTTCATTAAGTCCTGAATGGATTAAGATGTCTGTCTGTATTAAGTTGTCTGTCATATCAAATGACCAAATAACCCTCATGTCTGGAATAAGAGTTGAATATATATTGTCTGTTTACTTGTTCTGAACATAAGTTTAAACACAAATATTTATATTAAATCAAATTTTCATTGAAAGTACTCTAAAATAATCAAACTTAAATAATTCTAAACATCCAACTATAACTAATTAACTACTCCGTATAAAAAAGTAACACTCCAACTTGCATCCTCAAAATAACAGTGCATATACATCTCCTTCTTCAGAACCAAAAGAGCAAACAAGAAAGTACTTGTATATTCTTCTCCTAGCCACGCATCACCAATTTGAAAAAAGCTGGAAACTATTTACAGCCCCATCAACAACAGAGGAAAAAATCTCGAATAGATCTTCTGTGTCCTCTTCTTTCCCGATAATCAAAACCAACGATCAATGTTCGGAAGACAAAAAACTCACTTCATATACCAACAACAATAAAAAAAAACTCCCTAACAAAAGATTAACCATTTAACATGATTTTGAAGAATATGGCATCTCTAAATTAAGTTGGGTTTCAAAAAATTTACCAATCTATGGGAACTAGATTGTTTGGAAAGTCAACAACCAGATCGAGAATTGGGACAAAAAAATAGAAACAAAGATATATGTAAAATCAGAGAAAATACAGATGAAGAAGTTGGGGCTTAAGGTTATTCTTCGTTGGTTTCATGAAAGCTCACAAGATGCTCAGGTCGCCGACTTTAGCAGGTTTGTAGCCCAGGTTTATAGCCGAGACCGCTGTTGTGGCGCAAGATGGCAGGGTTAAAGGTGGCATTGAACGAGTCTGAATGCTAAGGAGTGTAAAATTGAAGCTGAATGAATAAGACGTAAATTGACTGAGCGAATAAGTCATACATTTAATCAAGTCCTAAGTAAACACAAGTCCAATATAACTGTATGATTAAGTCATTGTTTATATTCAGCTCATTAAGTCCAATGTAAACAGGCCCTTGATTAAAATATGGTCGGATTAAGTCTGTTATGGCTTAATAAATTAATAGAGTAGGCAGCTAGTTACCTGAGAAATAATTGAGTTGAGTAAGTACTTCAGTCAGTCAGCAACTTGTTAAACAAATTATATTATAAAAAATAGTAAGACTTTAATTAGGAAGCTCGGCCCTAGCTAGGTACTTTAAAAGAAGCTCGAACTAAGATCATATATCGTTCTCGTGCTTGTATTCTTGTTACCTGAACTGCTTCATTTCATGTAGTATAACATTGGTATTTGAAGTCGAATGACTTATGTGGCTCTCTAGTATTCTAGTGGCTCACAGGAATCTAGGAGTGAATGAACAATTGAAGATACTGAAAGATAAAATACAGTCACAAATGGAGGAACGTGCATGGTGCTCAATTGCAACAACTCAACAAAGGAATTTGAGAAGTAAATGGCAGGATTGAGGCTTGAAACGCTGCAATTTATCAAGAATGTGGAAAAGAGTCCGAATTAGAGGAAACTAGAAGTATTAACTAGCTGAAATTTCAAACACTTTGATTTTAACTCCTCGATCGTGTTCGTTTCAATGAAAATGTTTATCCCAATCGTTCTCTTAATTCTCCCCCAATGTCTAGTGCATCTTCCCTTTTAGAAAGTTCACTCCCTACTATTCCGTTACGTACGACCACATCATATTCCTCACCATACGACTGCCCAGCCAAAACTCCACTGCTCAATCCGCACCCGCAACTCAGTTCGAACTCACTGCCATTCTGAAACCCCTACCCACAATCAACCCGATTTTCTTCACCTTTTGCTTCGGACCAGCCCCAACCGACCCGCCCGAACCACCTCCCAGTAGCTCCCTTGCTCATTTCGTGACCACCTTTACCCAACCAAATTTTAAATCTTAATACACTTGTTATTTCACTCGATCCGACATGTTTTTCTGGGGCAAATAAACATTTCATATGATGTGAGGCGGCGGCTGATGAATTTAATGCACAAATATTGTTGGGTCTAAGTGAATTTAAAAAACTAAGTAGCGTTCTAATGGATCTCTTGAGCACCACAGATCGAGCTCAATTAGTTGCACAAGGATTTAATCAATAGGATGGTGTGCACTTTTCTGAAACCTTTATTAGTCATGTTGTTAAACCCACCACTGTTTGTATTGTTCTTACCCTTGCTATTTCTTTTGATTGGGTTGCACGCCAGCTTGATGTCGAAAATGCTTTCCTTCTTGGTCATCTTACTGAAGAAGTATATATGTGTCAAATGTGGGGGTTTGCTCATCCTCAATTTCCTAATCATGTACGTAGATTGCGCAAGGCCATTTATGGCCTTAAGCAGGGCCCCCAGACTTGGTTACATTGTTTTAGTAGCTTTCTTCTTACTCATAGTTTTACCTGTAGTGAGTCTGATAAGTCTCTTTTCATCTTTCGTTAGGATAATTCTATCGATCATTTGTTTATTATATGTAGATGATGTTATTATCACTGGTAATTCCCCCTCTATTGTACGTCACTTCTTTGCCCTTATTGCTCATCATTTTGCCATGAAAGACCTAGGGGATCTTCATTATTTCTCACGTTTTCAGTCTGTTCACACCGCTCAGGATATGTTTCTTTCGCAGCAAAAATAAGCCACTGGTCTCCTTACTCGCTTTCATTTACACATTGTTGAATCTATTCGTACACCCTTAGCTACTCATACTACACTCTCTCTCACTCATGGTGAGCTCCTTGCAGATTCCACTGAGTGTCGTAGAATGGTAGGTGTGTTACAGTATTTAACTTTGACCAAGCCAGACATTACTTATGCAGTTCATTTAATGTCTCAGTTTATGCATCCTCCTCGCACTACTCACCTTTTGGCTGTCAAAAGAATTTTCAAATATTTACTAGGCATTATAGATCATGTTTATGGTTTCAATCTTCGACTAAGCCGACATGCGATGTGGCTTACTCTGATGCGGATTAGGTCGGTCGTTCATATACCTCTCACTCTACCACGAGATTTGTTGTGTTTTCGGGTCCAAATCTTGTCTCCAAAAAGTCCAAGAAACAGCCTATGATATCCAATTCCTCAACTGAAGCAGAATATCGTGCCATTGCATATACTGTCCAGGATACACTTCGCATCCGCTCCATTTGTTATGAGCTCGGCTTTGCTATGACCACTCATGTGCAGTTGTTTTGTGATAAATATTTTTGCCTCCTATTTGGCTTCTAATCATATCCAGCATGCTAGGAGCAAACCTATTCATATTGATTACCACTTTGTTCGTGAGCGAGTTGCACATGGAGACTTGGTTGCATGCCTGATGATTGATTTGGATGACTTTCTTGCAATTTTAATGCTAATACTCCCCCCGTCCCGCTAAGATTGTCTCATTTTACCTTTTCGGGAAGTCCCACTAAGATTGTCACATACCAAATTTGGTAAAGATTGTGTGGCTCTAAACCATTCTTACTTTATTCTTACTTTATCAATTTAATATCAACCACACAAACTCATCTTTCTTAATAATCGTGGCTCCTTCTTCCGTCCCAATCTTAGTGGGACGGAGGTAGTAGTTTATTATTGGAGCTACTAACTTGAGGAAAGAACATTAGGGAGTATTAAACACTCTATGTAATATTATTAATAACAAATGGAGGGCAAGAAATTATAGCTAATTATACGTGCACATCTTACTTTGAAAATAATTTATTTTAAAGGATTATATTGCAAATCAAGACATAAGAGCAATTAGCTTCTTCCGGAAAAAAAGAGCAATGAGCTAACCCCGATCTAATAACTAAAGGGGTAGTGTAATTTGGTATGCATTTTAGATTAGGGTACACGAGGCAGCCACACTGCCTCGAAAATGGAAGGCGGATCATACTTTGCCACATCGTCGCCCCACGCTCGTATTCAACTCTTCCACGGCAGCAAATGCGGACTTTATTCTCTATCCCTATATTGCCCATCAACATACCTTCTTATTTCGTATAAACCCAAATTCCTTCCGCTCAAAATAAACTCGCTATTCCGTTCTGTTCCTTTTCATCTCCTCAAATCTTTGATATTTCCGGTGGTGTATTGTCTACGGCTATGGCGTCTGGTTTGGTCCGACGAGCGATGACGAGGGTTCCCTCTTCACCGGCGGCGAAGCTTATTGTGGCAAGGGCACACGCTTCCGAGACCCAAGCCCAGCAGGTGGAGCCCTCAGCGACGGCCACCTCCAACATGAAGAAGTTCCAAATTTACCGGTGGAACCCCGACAACCCGCAGAAGCCGAAACTTCAGGAGTACCAGATTGATCTCAAGGAGTGCGGCCCCATGGTTCTGGACGCCCTCATCAAGATCAAAAACGAGATCGACCCGTCCCTCACTTTCCGGAGGTCCTGCCGTGAGGGAATCTGCGGGTCTTGCGCGATGAACATCGACGGCCAGAATGGGCTCGCTTGCCTGACCAAGATCGCGTCCGGCCCGGATTCGATGGTTACGCCGCTTCCACACATGTTCGTCATCAAGGATCTGGTGGTCGACATGACTAATTTCTACAACCAGTACAAGTCGATCGAGCCGTGGCTGAAGAGGAAGTCCCCGCCCCCTACAGACGGAAAGGAAATTCCCCAGAGCAAAGCTGATAGATCTAAGCTGGATGGGATGTACGAGTGCATTCTCTGTGCCTGCTGTAGCACATCCTGCCCCAGCTACTGGTGGAATCCCGAGTCTTATCTCGGCCCCGCTGCTCTCCTCCATGCCAACCGGTAATACATTTCTTCATGTTTTTCTTCTTCAGACAATTCTCTTCTATGGTTCATTGAAATGGACATGATATTATTTTTTCTGATAATAATCCGTATGAAATATCCATCAGGGCATTACCAAATAGACCCTATGTTTGTTTAGGAATCCTCAATGCCATAAGAATATAATGGACTTGTTTTCACACATAATGTATGTGCATGTCATTCTCACTAGAAATGTGTGTATGTTTGGCATGTTCGGATCCTGGAAAATGCTACGAAAAATAAAAAAGAATGCCAAGTTGTTTTTCATCCTAATTTCTTCTGCTATCTTTTGTTGAGTTCCAAACTCATCCATAGAGTCCATTGAACACAACACAACAGCATGTTGTGTTCATGTGTGTGTAATATTAATATATACAAAGTTGTGAAATGCAGATGGATCATGGACAGCCGAGATGAATACACAAAAGAGCGTTTGGAGGCAGTTGATCATGAATTCAAGCTCTACCGCTGCCATACAATTTTGAACTGTGCCAAAGCTTGCCCGAAGGGGTTGAATCCTGGGAAGCAAATTCAGAACATCAAGGCTTTAGAAGTTAACAGGCGGTTCGTTTGAGTGGCTGTGATGATTGAAAGTTCGTGGGTATGAAGAAGAGTATATCCCTTCCCTTTGATAGAAATAATGTATGCTTGCCATTGTAATGTGCAGAGTTCTCAAACAAACACACAAACAAACACAATGATGTACTTGACCTTTAGATGAAAGGTCTTCGCATCTTTTTTTCATCTTTATTTTTTGGTTGCTTTCTTGCATCTTGTAAACTGTGTTGAGTTAATTATGTTGTTTGATATAAGTTGATTTGCATTCTTCATAAGTTTTTTTCTTTTTGAGTTAATTCCCTGTCTAGGTCCCTTAAATTATGAATTATTACTCAATTTAGTTGTAGATTTTCTTTCAGGCTCAATTTCATCAGACATTCTTTTGGGCCTGAGTTCAGTCTACAAATTTGGACCTAATTCTTTCTCATGCATATTTCATTCTACTCATTATTAAGAACATTTTCGTGCATTGAGGATTAAATTATATCTTAATCTCATGGTTAAGGGTTAGTGGTGACTTGTACAGAATTGGATCTCAATTTAAGGAACAGATGAGCATGTGTTTAATATTTAGAACCAATAGGTATGAGGATTAAACTAGGTCATTTCATAGTTGAGGGCCAAATTGAGAGTAAAATCATTAGACCAAATCAGACTTTCTTTTATTTGTAGGACTGCTTAATGTGCATCTGTAGAATCTCATTAGTCATATCTGCTTCTAAAGCTAAAGATCATTTGTGATGATTTGAATCAAGATGCCTGGGTTTTTTACACTTTGGACAACTGTAACAAGGGTAATGCATTTGGAGCAGGGCAAAGATCAAGAAAAGAGTGAAAATACATTATTGTCCTTTAATTATTTCCATCATTTGCAATGGAGTCAAAGATTCACTATTTTTTGGCTTGAGAATATAATGGAATAAAGCAAAATGGTTCACTAAACTGTCTGCACTTTATTGTTATGAAGCAACAGTCAGTCCATGCAATTTTTGACGAGATTCTCACTATGGGTCACTCAGAAACAAGTCTATCTATGCTTTAATAGTATATGGGTAAGACTGCGTACATCTGACCCCCTATCCCGCATACATCTGACCCCCTATCCCACAGTACGCGGGAGCTTTTGCAGCATTGGGGTAAATGATGATGATGAATTAAAATAGTACAATAATTGAAGAAATGCAATAGTGTATTATAATACCATTCTACTCGTATCCTTATCCATTTGGGCAATTGTTGCCTATGGCTACGAGCGGACGAGCCTACGAGGAACCCTTCAAATGATAGTTTAGAGGGTCAACTGGCTGAAATTCCATTTAAAGATCAACAAGTAATATGATTACTCAACTTTTTTCAATATCTCAAAAAACCCTAAGCACCGAATGAATTTAAACCATGGTTTCAGTAATATACAACCTGCCAAACTTGCAACCAACACTGCAGAAACCCATGAATATACACTTCTCTTTCTTTCATTTCTTTTCAAATACATGATACACAAAGTCTAATTTCTAAAAGGTGGACTCCTGAGCAGAAATAAGCAGGAAGACTGATACTGCATATGAAGAGTGTTATTGTTGAGCCTAGTTTTAGCTTTTGCTTTAAGTACACTGGCTTCAGTTGACGACTTTGCCTTATCCCTGCCCAGGATGTGGCCACCAAACATATACGTCAGGGGAATGCCAGATTTACGAATAAGGGAGGGTAACTCATGCACCATCACGTAATGGGCATTTTTGTCAAATACATAATGGCATAACATTTCCTGAAATTTCCCCTACACCTTTCAGTATGCGCACGTGAATTTTGTTTATGCAGCAGTTTCAATGCTGCGAAGGTGCCTTTCATTGTTGTTTGTATCCCAGAAACCAGAATGTGAGGCTCGTCTCTTGGCCTTGTAACTCTTGCCCTTCCTTTTCATCCCCTTACGACCTGAAAGTGTCATCACCATTACCACCAAGAACCCGACGATTGAAACAGCCCACAACACAATGATCCAAAACCTCATGGAACTCAATATTCGGCTTGTCACCTCAGGCGGCGACGATTCTTGAGAGTTATTGTTTTTCTGGACAGAGTCACGCTGCATGGCTTCAATTCCATCAACATTTTCATCTGTTTTTCCAAACATCCTTGACGTGTCAATCTCAGCTGTTGGTATATTAAGTGGTGTCTCCATGATGGAAGGTGGAGAATTGGGGTCCGGACAGTTCCTTTTCTCGTGGTGTAGATGTAGAGCTTCGTTCAACTTGTTTGCACATTCTAAGCTAAGCAAGTCACGCTGTAGTGAATCATTATTGGTTTGTGAAAGAGTGGTTGGATCTGGAGGGTCGGGAAACTTAGCCCAACATTTGTTGACCAAGTCAGTGTGCCTCCATTTTGCTTTATCAAAGCTCCAATTTCCAACCCTAAATTCCAGGCCATAGTGGAATACTCTATACTTGACACCAGGTGCAGGGATGTATCCAGGATATATAAGAATCTCATTGCTTATGACATGCCGCAAATTTAACTGCAAAATGGAAAAGTCAATAAGCGATAGTCAAATCTTAAAATCGCATTGCAGTTACATTTTTCTACAAAAAATCCCAGGAAACATTTCTCACATAAAACCCAGAAATATGTTTCTGGATTTTGGTACAAGAACAAATGACTTCTCATTTACATAGACAACCTGTTTTTTATGAACGCATTTTCCAAATCAAGTTACTTTCTTGCAATCGAACGGAACCTTAGACACAAAAGGAGAAAACGCCAAATATTGATTAATAGAAAAAAGAGTGAATGGTATGAGAAGCACCTCTGCTGCACCAAATGAGTAACCGTACATCTCACTGATCCATCCAGCTTCATATACATCTCCCGTTATGTTCTTAGACCAATGAGATCTGTCTGCCCGGACTTCCTCTGTTTTATGCAGCCACAGCAGAGCAAATCTCCGGAGATCATCGACGTGCATTATGATGACACCTCCAACCTTGTTGCAAGCTTCAGGGTGGCGTGTGTGCAGCTTCGCAAGAACATTGTCACATCCTATCAGATAGCTGACCCAGTTGAAGAAAAACCAACGACTAGATAAGAGAGCAAGTATTGTCTGTGAAAGCTTTGATGTTAAGTGTCCCACATCGAAATGTTACAGAGTGATACACAAGTTTACAATAATCCAAAGACTTGTTCAATTTTTTTATGTGCATTATGGCGTGGTTGCATGAACCTCACTCCATTGCTTGGGGCAGCGGCTTGGCCCTATTTATGTATTTAGTATCCAACGTAAATTGTCTAGTAGGTATGAATCTAGTCTGATATATACACCTCACATCTGAAGGATCCCTTTGAGAGTTTGAGGTGAGTTAGACCCAATTTAACAAAATCAATGGAGCTAAAATACAAGTCAGATGCAGAATGACTTGCACACCCAAATGTATTTACTGAAAGGGGAAAATAGTATTCCGACTTACTCATAGGGAGTTGAAACCGGTCGTCCACGGGCTGCGTTGAACTCCCAAGGAGTTATTGGTCCTCTCATGATCATATCAGCATCCAAGATAACTACGAACTCTGCATCGATCTTTACATGATTAAGCCAATGAAGCACTGCTGCTGGTTTATTAATTGCAGGATACCTGACACCCCACATCCAAAAGTGTTTAAAATTCCTTTATAGTGCTTCAAACTAGCACTCCGCATGTTCCCCGAGCAGAGAAAATATGGAAAATAATTTTTGAAAAACTGAAAAAGGCAAACCAACAATTCCTACTTTTACACATTTTACAAAAAATAATCTCTACTGGAAAAGTTCACCATAATAATCACTATTTGTTAATTGTTTCACAAAAATGAATCGCCACTTTAACAGCATTAAATTTCTATTTTACTGGTTCGCTTTGTGTAAAGCGGTTAACAAGTTGAAATTGTTTACAAGTAATCTTGAATAATTGTGTTTCCAACTTTGGGATCAAACCTCCCTTTACTCCCACTGTCCTAATAAATAGGACTATAGGAGTGTTGTTTCAAACGTATATTTTGTTCGAAAAAGGCCACTTTTCATCGAATGTTACTACGTACTATTTTTAAATATAATTTGCCAAAAAAGGTGAATGGAGTTGCATATCATAAAGAGTTTAATTAGGACTTACTTAAAGCATCTTCCCTTACCAAATATAAAATTGGACTTCTGTGGAATAGAATGTCGTAAAATTTCTTACTACCTTCATCCCACTGACATTGGGACATGAGGAAGGGATGTGGTTATTAAGAAAAGTAGGTTAATGTTGTTCATATTGAATTGATAAAGTAAGAATGATGTATAACCACACAAACCTTACCAAATTTGGTATGGGAAAATCTTAATGGGACAGACCAAAAAGAAGAGATGAGACATCTTAGCAGGACGAGGGGAGTATTTCTTTATTTTAGGAATCATAATTTTTTAATAATTTTTTAAAAGAGTGGGTGATCGGACAAACAGCATTACCAATCTCCAGTCAAAGGATGTCGACTCATGGAAGGAACAAAGTGGGTTGGAGCCAAATCATGGCCATTATATTGCTTCAAGTCATTTTCTGTGCAGCTCAAAAGTCTTGTGATATTACCAGGCTGACCACTCTGGTGGAAACTGTGGATGAGTCCAACAGTTTGCCAATCAAAGTAAGGCGAGCATTCTGTGGAAAAAATTGTGTGAATTTTGGGATGTGGCTTTGCGGGTTCATTAGTGGCAGCTTGAGAAACTTCAATTCGAGGTTTGAATTCCATTGTCTGTCGGCTCCTAGGAGTCAAAAGTTTCGGTCGAGTGAGATCAGCGAACGATTTGCTCTTTAAGAAACTTAGATACTTTGACCATTTTGGCTTTGGACATCCAAACGCCGCATGCTGCAATAACAGACCTTCATTCAACGTATTCATGCATTCTATATTCAGAAACAGTGCTCTTCTTTTCAGAGGATCATCCTCCATTTCTTTTATCTGCAAAACAAAAGAGTTTATTCACTTTATTGTACGCCTGGACCTCACCCCCTTCTCATTGAAAATTACCTTCCCGGTTAAACAAAAAAAAAAAACTTTTTAAGCTTTGGGCTATGTTTAGAATGCTGATAATAGTACAGAGAGAAAAAAAGCTAAGACAAATAGGGCTTATATGTGATATGAGCAAGGAAACCTTATATTATTATTATTATTATTATTATTATTATTATTATTATTATTATTATTACTATCATTATTATTCCTATGTAAGCTTCAGGCAGCTTCCTAATTAGCATTTATCTCTTTTTATAATTATTCCTATTCTACTTTAGGCAACTTCTGAATTAGCATTTATTTCCTTTTATAATTGGGACTCTTGTAATAGCTATATGAGGGTCATCAATTTTTTTATAAACAGCCTGGGAAGAATTAATTCTTGTGTGTCTTGACAAGAATTAAAGCAATGGAGCAATGGAGCCAAAGATTCATTATTTTTTGGCTTGGGATTATGATGGAATAAAACAAAATGGCTCACTAAACTGTCTGCGCTTCTATGTTATGAAGCAGCAGTCACTCCATGCAATTTTGGACGTGATTTTCACTATGGGTCATCCGGAAACAGTCTCTTTGTGCTTTAGTGCAGGGGTACGACTGCGTACATCCGACCCCCAACCTTACCCCACCGTAGGTGGGAGCCTTTGCGGCACGGGGGTAAATGAAAATGAAAATGAAAAAATGTCTTGACAAGGTCGAGCACCGATTAATTCTAGCTTAGGCTTATTTTATTATTACGCTCTCATATTCTCTATTTCTTAAAACTGAAACAAGATCCTAACCACGCCCGTAACAATTTGATACCAGAGCCGTTACATTCCTGAACAGTTTGTCTTACTCCAACTCCTTTCGTTTTGTTTTCTTTGTCCATAAATCCAAAAAAAATACTTTGTTCAGCATTTTTGCTGCCCCGCTTCGCAACAAATATGCAGCAACCACTGTAGAGAAGGCACTCCTCAGGCCATCATCAGTTTCTGTAGCCGAATTTCTTTAAGTTTGTTTCCATAGCCCTGCCCTAATCATAATTACCAGGAGCTACTCATAATAAAATAAAAAAACCTGTGCACTTCTCTTGCTCCAGGAATCCCTAGTTTGCCGCTCCTTGTAGTCTCCAAGCCCTTGTTCAAACCAATTATAATTATTCCTATTCTGATTTTTCTTTAAAAAGGGCCTGAAAAAAAGGATTATCAGGCTCTGCATGTCACCATCTCTCAATTATTATTTTTTGTTGATGAGTACGATTTATGTGCTTTCGGTGCAAGGTCGGTGCAACATATTCAGATTTTGAAATCTGACCGGTTTGAACTCCAAGCTGTAGTGTATTTTGATTCCTTCCCGGACACCATAAATTCCCTCTTAGAAGTTCAAGGGATGAATATTTATGAAGGAGGTTGGACCATGAAAATACAGTCCGTAGCATCACATCCATCATCAATTCCACACCCAACGACTTCACAGCCCGCTTTACTACCCACAAAAGAAAACCTGTCTCAATGTCTATAGTTGCCAAACCTTCCCCATCCATTTCAAATATTTCCCTTTCAGTCAGCTACATTACTGGAAAATAACCTCCACCAACTTTGGTGGCACCTCTGTGTTAGAGACCTCCCAATATTCAGAAATTTCAGAAACTAATATCAAGAAACAATGGAATTCTTTATTGAAGAAGATGAACAGTAACAGAAGGAAAATCAGTACAAAGGCCGAAGCCCCCAAAGAGAAGAGAAAACAATTCTCTAATCTTCCCAGTCCAAGTCCTAAAGTCCCAAAAGCCTCCTTCCTAACTCTCCCTTCCCGTCTATTTATACTACAATACTCATGTACCCTTATTACTAATACTATTATTATTATTTCTAATAATAGTCTAATACTCTAAATAGGCTGGTTCCTATCAATACTCCCCCCCCCCTAAACATCCACCTTGCCCTCAAGATGGGTGAGAGGAAACAGCCACAATCTTATGCTTCCTCTTCCTTGTTCCTCTTCCTTCCCAATATCGTCCAAATTTCAGGATCCTGAACTTCATGAACTGGGCAGCCCCAAATGCATTCCCTACAGATCCATCCTCATGGTCCAGGTCATCTATAATTGCAGGAAGAACCGATGATGCTTTTTGTTGAGAACAGATTGGTATGCTATCCGAAACCACCTCCTCTGTAATATAGATTCTTCCTTCACTCTTTCTAGCCTCTGTATCTTTGGCCTCAAAAAAAATTTCAAGGATAAAACTGTGTCTCTTGTTTGCTTCAAACAGTTCTGATATGCGCGTGAACAGTGTTCCAAACAGCCCCCGACAGAAACATTCCTGAATTCTCCTTGCCTCTCTATCTGGATCAGCCTCCAACTTTCTTGGTCCAAACAAGTAGGGCTCCATTTTTATATTTCCAACAACATCAACTATCTTGTATTCCGTTAAAATTCCACAATTGGAACAGTTCACTTCGGAATCATTGAAGCATAAGACCATTTTATAAGGTTGAACATTTACTTCAGCTTTCATCCCATTAACAATTTCAGGTTTTACAGATAAATCCCTGATTTGTTCCCTCTGGGAAATCTTCATTGCAGCAGCTTGAGTAATAGAGTCCAGATCCGCATGAATTCTACCCAACTGGTATTCATGAACAAACTCATCAACCCATCTTAGTCTATAATGTGAGGAGTCCCAACTTGCATAAAGCATCAAACTGCAGCCCTTAGCTTCTATCCCAGATTTGTCATTGGAGTGAGTGAAGATTGATCCTCCAAATGCACAAATCTGTAGATCATTCTTTCCCAACGGCCCTGCTAAGATATTCTGGACTATTATCCCCCTTTTACCCACAATAACTTGATCCTGACTGTCAGAATTAGCAACATACTTCTCCCTAGACACATCATTCACTACTTCTTTTTTAATATTTTTCAGAGAAGTAATCCCTTCCAATCTAGGAATACCAAACATGTTTAATCCTTCCCACATAAAGTTTAATGAATGACAATACACCATTTCATTCTTGAAGACATTTGGCCAGTTCATCTGCTGTACAATATGAGAAGAAATATCACCTATCTGAAGAAGCTTGAACCTATTGGTTTCAAGGTTTGGCGGGTCCAGATCGTACTTGGACAAAATCTTACCCTTGGTTAATCCAACAACTGCACCAGCTTCATGTTCAAGGTTATCTGATGATTTCTCCTTGTGTTCCTTGTCACCATTGTGCTGATTATTCAACTCCTGCTGCAATTCAGGAGACTCATATGGATATTGCGAACTAGGGTCTTCTGTTTGCCTAGAAACCAGAGGTCCCGGAGAAATTGCTTGTGAACTCAGTGGAGCTATTTGAGACGAAGAAGGCGGACAGTGAGAACCTACCGGCGAAGATGAAGATTCTCCTTTCAATCGTGTCTTTCTTGAACATGAACTGATAACCGGTGAAGAAGTATTTGGCAATTTAGAACTAGAAACAGTTCGCGACTCCGATAGCAAACTGGTGAACGACTGGGACGAACTTTGCTTGTCATAAGGCGGACGATGTCTTTTGTTCCTCGATCGGTCTTCCGATGCCTGAGTTAGTCAAATGTTGTGTACGTCGATGATGAGAAGTGTGATGCGATGTGTGCGATGATGATGAAGACTCTGTTCACGACTGCGAACGGTGAGAAGAATTTCACGATTTCGTCTGCGACTCCTTCTGCGACGAGCGAGGAGATGAGCAATGCAAAGAGCTAGGGTGGGATGAGCGATGTGAAGATCGGTGCGAATGGTGCGATGTATGTCGCGAACGACTTTGAATTCGGTTCTGCGAATCTGCGACGCTAGCTTGCATCGCCTCTTGCATAGCGACCATCATCGTCTTCATCTTTTCTTGCGACGCGACCATACTTGCTTGTATCTCCCACATATGTCGGTCTATATTATCAAAACTTTTTTCCATTTGCGGTGTTAAAAAATCCTCCATGATTCAGATTCTCTGGCTCTAGGACCAATGTTAGAGACCTCCCAATATTCAGAAATTTCAGAAACTAATATCAAGAAACAATGGAATTCTTTATTGAAGAAGATGAACAGTAACAGAAGGAAAATCAGTACAAAGGCCGAAGCCCCCAAAGAGAAGAGAAAACAATTCTCTAATCTTCCCAGTCCAAGTCCTAAAGTCCCAAAAGCCTCCTTCCTAACTCTCCCTTCCCGTCTATTTATACTACAATACTCATGTACCCTTATTACTAATACTATTATTATTATTTCTAATAATAGTCTAATACTCTAAATAGGCTGGTTCCTATCAATACTCCCCCCCCCCCCCTAAACATCCACCTTGCCCTCAAGATGGGTGAGAGGAAACAGCCACAATCTTATGCTTCCTCTTCCTTGTTCCTCTTCCTTCCCAATATCGTCCAAATTTCAGGATCCTGAACTTCATGAACTGGGCAGCCCCAAATGCATTCCCTACAGATCCATCCTCATGGTCCAGGTCATCTATAATTGCAGGAAGAACCGATGATGCTTTTTGTTGAGAACAGATTGGTATGCTATCCGAAACCACCTCCTCTGTAATATAGATTCTTCCTTCACTCTTTCTAGCCTCTGTATCTTTGGCCTCAAAAAAAATTTCAAGGATAAAACTGTGTCTCTTGTTTGCTTCAAACAGTTCTGATATGCGCGTGAACAGTGTTCCAAACAGCCCCCGACAGAAACATTCCTGAATTCTCCTTGCCTCTCTATCTGGATCAGCCTCCAACTTTCTTGGTCCAAACAAGTAGGGCTCCATTTTTATATTTCCAACAACATCAACTATCTTGTATTCCGTTAAAATTCCACAATTGGAACAGTTCACTTCGGAATCATTGAAGCATAAGACCATTTTATAAGGTTGAACATTTACTTCAGCTTTCATCCCATTAACAATTTCAGGTTTTACAGATAAATCCCTGATTTGTTCCCTCTGGGAAATCTTCATTGCAGC